TTTTACCCTTCTAGGATATAAATTACCTCATCGTTAAGAAAAATCATTCCAAACCCAAAGAACAAAAGAAAATCTTCCTTTTGTTCTCTTCGACAGCATTATGCACATTTCTCTCGCAGAAATCTTTAAAAAAACCTGGTGCGAAAGAGAGCGAACACGGAAAGAGGCAATCCGCTCCTGAATAAAAGAACAGTTTTTCGCTGAAAGATCAGGAGCCAAATGATAGATGGGTCAGAATGTGGAATTGTATCGCACCTGCAGCTCATTTTCGGCAGTCTTCATTACGGGGAAACATCTGGGAAATTTCCGAAACCTCTCGCAAAGTTCTGTCTTCCAGTCATGGGCCCGTCAAGAGGAAAAGAGGCCTGCAAGATTTATTCGAGAAATGGTACTGTAATGTATGCCCTTTCATAAAACGCCTCTTCTTTCGTGATTCTGTGGCTGAAAGAGTTTTTCTGGTAACGAAGAATTTATTTTGCTGTCGGAGCTGGAGCTACAATTTTCCAACTTAACCAACGCCCATTTCAAGATAAGTGTGGTGTTTTTTGTCTGCATACACGTCTGAACTATTCATGGCTTAGATGTACTACTTTAGGGTTAAGGTTACAGCTGTATTCTCTTCTAAGGAAAATATTTTCCCCAAAAATACCGGGGAACATTTCTTTGTAATAAATATGAGTCAGTTTATATTTGAATAAGTATAGCAAGATCGAAAAGTTGATGCACGTATCAATTTATTAGTTGTTTTTCAATAAATGAAGAAAGCACATGCTTGTATTACAGATGGATATATAATTAAATTCATGTTCCACTGATTCTGATATATTCTCAACCAGCAGTACTGATTTAAATTCGGTTAACGCACGTTTCAAAACGACGCCATTTTTACTACTTGTCAATATATGTTGTCTTTCAACAAGAGGTGACACAAATATGATGGGTGCCAAAATGTGTCTCTGCTTTGATATGAGTGAATAATTGTACTCGTATAACAGTAAGTCATTATCATGATTGGCGCAACAACCCATGGTGGGCCAAGGCTGTCTGCCTAGTAGCAGATTTCAAAACATGAGATGCCTTCTTTTTACGCGGTAAGGTTGTCAACCTTACGCCCAACGCTCTACAGTCATGTTAGACTGAGACCTACATTTTAAAGTGGATTCCGAAACACTACAAATATCCCTGGCACCGTCGGGACTCAAAACCGAAACCTGTGGTACCGAGCGATAGAGCGCTAGCCACTCTGCCATTCAGGCCCATAAAAGTAAGTCAGCCGTATGAATAGGATTCATACTTTGTCATTGATTCTCAATTCATTTTATAGAACAGGAATTGAATTATATACATTCCATTCTCTAAGTGGAAATTTAGCGTTTCATTGTTGAATACTATTGAACAACTTTCACAAAAAAGGAATAAATTAACAATTATAAACAAACAAACCAGAATAACAATTTAGAAAATAACAATATTTGGAGAAAGGCATCGAAGTCGCTATACCTAATGCAGGCTTCGGGCTGACGTTGAAAACAGTTTATTGTACTTCGAAAACGTATATTATTATTGCCCTCTAACATTTTTATATTGCTCTCTATCAAAGTTGTAACTGAACCCTTGCGTTGTTATATCGACCCTTAAACATGCTGTATCAATCCCTAACTTTTTATAGCTCTTATTTTGGAGTCTTGTTGTTTAAACTACCATGAGATATATAAATGTGCTGACTACTAAACCACCTGAGAGTATTGATTGCTGGTACCATCCTATTTCGAACAAATAACTGCATGGATGATATATGTAGAATTCTCATTCACACCTGTAGTACCAAAGACCAGAGCGCTAGCCAATTGAGCATTCGGGTGCTGTCTCTTTCGCCTTATCAGATGAGCTTGTTTCGTTCCCTTCAATATGAAACAAACAATCGTTACCTCTCACACAATTAGTTCAACGCTGCGTGCTCATCCAACATTTATCCTCCATAGCTCAATTGTATGAAGGATATTATGGCTCAGTTTGCTAGAATCAATGAGGACAGCGTGAACATGACTTTGATATTACATGATGTTATATGACTTGGATATTACATGATGTTATATGACTTGGATATTACATTATGTTATATGACTTGGATATTACATGATGTTATATGACTTGATATTACATGATGTTATATGACTTGGATATTACATGATGTTATATGACTTGGATATTACATGATGTTATATGACTTGGATATTACATGATGTTATATGACTTGGATATTACATGAATTTGGCATTACGTGATGCTAATAATAGGCATATCTTCGATATCCATTTGTTTCGAAATTACATCGTTTTAAATTAAAAGAATTCTTTCTGGAAACATCACGCACATGCACAAATATTTGCAGAAACCTATTCAATCAAAATATACTACGTAACAAATTAAGTTTCCTCGAAAAATTTAAAATGAGATCTAAATTATTAATTGAATTTATTTCGAGTTGTTTATAAATTTATTAAATTATAGATATATGTTTAAAAAGACCCACGTTTCTTTCAGTTAACCAATTTAATATTTGAAATTTTTTTTTTGTTACAATCAAATAGCTTATGCGTTTGGTTCCTTTTTATATTGGAAGACAAACTTATTTCTCAGGAAAAAAATATTTTTGAAATTCAATTTGATTTTCTTGTAATGGTAAGTTATTTTAGTCGAAGTATAAAACCCTTTTATTAAAGTAAAGTTTAAAAGAACTTTTAAAATTCCATGTAAACGGCAAATTGTTCTAAAAAAAGAATTCAGTTGAATTGAAGTAAAGCGATCGCTTATAACTTTTTTTCCAATCCTTTTTGAATACTGTTTTGCAAGCATTACTCAGAACTCTACAATCTATTAATGCCCTTTAAACTACTACATTCTCACATATTTATTTTACTGCATAAGTGCTTAAGTGTAGTTTTATAAAGATTTTAATGCAAGTGCAACTGAATTCTTTATTATCAAGCATTAGTATTTGCTGTACATTTTACAAAGCATTTCAAAATCTAAAATTATTTTTAACTGTTATTTAAAAGAAAACTTCAGAGTATTCGAACTATTTAATAATGACGTTCAACAGTTTTTGTTTAATAAATTATATTTTATGGCGACAGTTAATGAGCGGGCAAGAAGAAAAATTTCTGTTCGTCTGATAGCTTACGATACAGTCACTATTTTATGAAACGAGTAGTCTCGGTTCTAGTAGATCCATCCGAAAGGTGCTTCACACCTAGGAAATAGTCCTGCCCAAGGTCTTTTCATAGGGGCTTGTTTCGTTACCTTCAACATAAAACAAACAACCGTTACTTCTCAAACAATCAGTTCAACGCTGCGCGCTCATCCAACATTTATCCTCCACAGCTCTACTGTATGAAGAATATTATTTTGCTAGTATCAAAGAGGACAACGTGAACATGACTTTTATATTACATGCTGCTGCAAAACTTTACTTCTGGAAGAACTGTGAGTGGGAAGGTCGGTTGGCTTCATACATAGGAGGAAACGCATTAGTGTGTGAATTATTTTATGAGGCCTGATGGCCGAATTAGCGCTCTGGTGCTCGAACCCACAGGTTTCGAGTTGAGTCCCGGCGGTGCCATGGATATTTTTAGTGATTCGGAATTGTATGAAGCCGGTTTGCCGCTTTACGGACAGTTTGTGAACACTTTCGGCTAATTAGAATGGAACCTACACTTTAACTTGTATTCCGAATCCCTAACAATTATCCATGCCACAGCCAGGATTCGAATCTGAAGTCTATCGTACCAACGGCCACAGCGTTGGCCAATTGGCCATCAAGATGCGAGCCAACAACAATGATAATAACTTTTTTATAAACATTTATAATTAAAGGCAACTAATTACCCATAGAATAATACAATCTTCCTCAAATTCAATTATTAATAACCAAAGGAATACATTAGCATTTATAAAATGATAAAGGTATTTAATTGAAGAGAATATTTAATTCAATTATATATATATATATAAATGAACTCAAACTAAATAAAAAAAAAAAAATATTTGTTACACTCGTTTCAATTTATAATCTGAAATTATAAATGTATATTCAGTAATTGTTGATAATGAAGCCTTATCATTACATTACAAAACCTTTAATGAATGTAACTATTGATTTAGGCTAACTGTGCTAATGAAAATTAGAGATTTAATAGAAATTACCATATATAAGTATTCTAACATTGTTTAATATTCTATTACTGTGATTAAAGATTGAATAGATAATTTCACAAGGTTTGAATATTATAACTATTATTACAATATAATTGATGTTATTATAAAGTTAATATTTCGAAATTGTGTTATTTTATAATATTTAGATGAATGGTAGATTTATAAATTAGTTCGCTTTAATAATCTTGTATGTGTTCTTGTATTTTAAAAGAGTAATGTTTACTTTTGTTACAAAATAATATGTAACTAAGCTAACAAATGAAATAAAGCTATTAAATTTAAAATTTTAAATAAATTAAATCTTTTCAAACTGAAAATTTCTGCTTCTATATTTTCAACTGAGATTTCAATTTTAAACTAAGCAATTTTATTAAATCCTGTTATAATGGAGAAATGAAACTGGAAATTTAGTTCTCTGAAAAAACCTCTCATCGTATTTTCCGTACAACGCAATTTGCAAATTGAAATTTCAGTTTATGCATTTGTTCACTGTTTGTGTTGTTGTTGTTTCTTATCCCACTTGGCTGGCCAAGCCCACGAGCCCATACGTGTTCATGATTGAAGGGGAAGGAAGCAGCTTCTGTTGTGATGGAGCACCCGTAGGTAGAAGCCTGACTTTTGCTCCGTGACACTCTTACAGTCATAGGAGACTGGGACCTACAGCTTAAAGTGGATTCCGAACCACTACAAACATCCATGGCACCGCCGGTATTCGAACCCGAAACCTGTGACACCGAGCGCCAGAGCGCTAGACACTCGGCCATTCAGGTCCCAAATTTGCCAACGGCACGCGGTGTTCCCAGGTGGTCACCCACCCAAGAACTGACCGCGCCCGATGATGCTTGACTTCGGTGATGCCGACTTTGTACTTTTGTGTCGTTTCACCCTCATTCATTTTGTACAGCTCATCATTGTCATTTTTTGTATTTTTTACTTTATAAAATCCCCTGCGCGTGATTGCTATGCCCACCTATCCGTGGATGACCTTTTTTGTATCGCCCCTTTTGTAACTCTCATTTTATTTCAAATAAATCCGTGTTCTCGCCGGTACCCCGAAATCAAGTCACGTAAGTATACCTCCCCCTACCCTCTCTTCATTTATTAGTATTATATCCCTCATTATAATTCATTTAAATCTCTCTTGCACTTTTTAGACAATGGGGATTAAGCTTTTTGGCTCTGGCGCCCCTTTCCCACCCCCTCAAATGACTTGACTTCGGTGATCTAACGAGAACCGGTATATTCAGCATGGTACGGCCGTTGGCATATTCACTGTCTGTTAGACATATATGTAATTATAATAATAAAAAGTTCTTAGATTAAGATTTATGAATTATTATATTTTCTTTTTATTTCGTGAATTTTGAATTTAAAAAAGGATTTGCTGAAGAGATACGAAATTATTTTTAAATTACAGGAAACATTTTTAACGAGTGTAGTACGTTATTTGAATGAGAATCAAAAATAAATTTTAGTGTGAGTGGAATAAATAGTTATTTGTGAAATAATTTCTTTTAACATCTAATATTAAATTGTTTTTTCAACTTTAAATTAAACAATAAGTTTGATTCTTTTCTAAGACCATTTAACATGTTTCTCATACAAAATGTAGTGGCCCACTGTGGTGCCTCAGGTTCGAATTTTGACGGTCGCATGGATGTATCCAAAGTATGGTTAGTACCTAAAGTCCCAGTTGAACTGTGGGTTCCCGTCTAATTAGTCTAAAGTGTACAAAAATTGATCTATGGAGACAAATCAAAACATACTAAAAGTATTCTATCGAAATTTTATTTAATGATCTCAAACTATAGATTAGAAATAAAACTACAGGCGGTAATATTTTTTTTTTCACACTTCTTGATGGAAGTTTTCCTTTTTGAGTCATATCATATCAGACTCTCTGATAGTCCTCCACTCTCTGGCGAGAACTACATTTTTCTGTATAGTTTATGAAATACAGTACTTTTTATAGCATTAACAGGATAATAATTATAAATATATTCTAGTTAATATCCTTTTGCTTTATAGTTCCAGCATCTTATAACAAATATATATATATATATATTATTTAATAACTCTGACATAAAATAATAATTAAATACTCTGATAATAAAACAAAATGTTACACTCGTAATTCAATGGTATAATGCAGAAGGTAGAGCAACAAAAGACAATAGTTCATTACTACTGGCAGAGGGAGGGTGGTACAATTAGTGCTCTGAGATAAAATACATCCATTGAAGTTTGCAACGGATTGAAGTATCTTTCTTCAATACATTATACGATTATTTAAGAGTTTTCTGCATACTCTTCAAACACGATACTCAATTAATTTGTTGTTAATGTTGGAATTTTTATGCTTTAGCTCACGCGACACAACGTCACGTGGTAGTCTTATAAAAACCGCTTCGAACCGATTCACAGTTGCGCTGTCGCCTTGCAGACGAGCTGTTGGTTGCTGTGGAGATGAGCTGTTTTATTTCCAAAAGAACTTTTGTCTTCCAGTTTAGCTTTTGCCTTTTCAATTGTTACCTTCAACCCTATATATCTTTGTAAATATTGTTTGTAAATAAATGAAGAGTGCATAAATTTTTGAATGGATTCATCAATATTTCTCGAACTATCAGAACGCTGCGACTAACCAGAAAAACTGAAGCACCACAAAGGAACAAGACAGTCGTAGTGACAGTTATTCTAAAAATTCTCGCAAAATACATTACTTGCCAACTCCTAGGGTTTGCGCCCACTATGTTACTGTCAAAAGGAATGTCTACTCTCCATTTTACAGGTAAGATATATTTTGCCAACGAGAAAAAAACCTCACATCGAATATCTATCATTCACAAAATAATAACAATCTCCTCAAATATATACATTAACTTTATCTTCATTTATAATTACTATTTATATATTAATATATCCACGAGTAAAATATTTCTTTACACTCCACTTTCAACAACCCCATGCTCTTTCTGCTCGAAGCGCTGCATGCTTCCGTGTCGTGCAAAAGAAGTCCCGTCTTATTACCCGATGCGTCTTAATTTAACAAATCACCTTCTTCCCATCCGTGGGTCGCTTTGTCATACCTCCCTCATGAAGATGGATGGGGGCTCCCGCGGCTGCATTTGTTGGCGTTTTGCTCCCGGACTCTTTGTTCGTGAGTCCGGAGGATTCGGGACTCATTCTTCGTGCCGCCGAAAAGAATAATTGTTGCGCTGAATAAAAGAGCAATAAATTCTCCAGAAAATGGGATTATTAAGTTATTCATAATGTTACGTTGAAGAAAGGGCTGAACATTTCTTTATTATAAAACTTAAATATGTTGATTTAGAAATCTTGATGTTGATTTTAAATTATGATTTTCTTACGATTTATGATATACACCTCTTTTTTTCACTTCCTTCTATTAGTTCACACTCTCCCTATATATATCTTGTTCAAATTTTCAATCGTTCATAAAATACTTTTTATTCATCCACTCGAGTTCAAATACATTTTTTTGAACTTGTAGTGGAGGACACTGTATGTTAATGCAGTTTTTCCAAATATTAATTCTCTTATTAAATTTAATTAATTAATTTTAGTTTTTTTTTTAGATTTAAGTTGCATATATCTACCAATAGAGGGCGCCAGGTAAACTTAAAAAAATGAACGAAAATTATTTAGAAAAGACTTTCTGCAATAGAGTGAAAAGTAGAATTGATTTAAAATTTTTTTTTCTATATTACTTGTTAAATCTAAACTTAGCATCAACTTTTTCAATTTGTATATTTACTAATGAAAATTTTTAAATTAGTTTTTTTATACTTATTTTATTATTATGATAGATTAATACCATAAAGAATATAAAATATTTTCATGAAATATTTCTTCATAATCATTGGCACATCAGCTCCAGGGTGGGCGAAGGCTATCTGCGTACTGGCAGATTTCTAGACAGGGGATGTTTTCTTTTTACTGAGTAGGATTGTAATCCCTACACTGTTCAGTCATATTAGAACGGGACCTACGGTTTCAAGTGGATTCCAATTTGGTTTGGTTTGGTTTGTCGCTCTACGGTCATCTTCTGTCTCACGAGGGCTTAACAGACCGGATCCTATAGTTTAAAGTGGATTCCAAACCACTAAACTGTGGTACCGAGCGTCACAGCGCTAGCAACTCGGCCGTTCAGGCCCGTGGATTTCGAACTACTACAAACATCCATGCACTCGAATCCGAAACCTATGACACCGAAAGCCAGAGATAAAATACAGATTTACTCTTTTCAAACTGAATTTATTTGGTTTTTTTACGCATTGATATAATTTTTTAAGCACGTGCTCCATCTAATCTTCTTCCTAAGCAAATTATAGAGGTAGGCTACTAAGAATTGGGATTTATTATTGGTAGCTGATTAAAATATCGATGAGAACTCAGTCATGTCTATTTCACAGAAAGAAATTCAGGAAGCACAGTACTCTGGTCTTTGCCATTGCCGTAATGTTTTGAGGGAACAGATGTTAAGTGAATACAATATTCGCAGTGAAGAGATTTTGTTGGTAGACGAGGAAGAGGCATGAATGGTAGTGGATGAAATAAGAAAGCACAGGAATGAATGAATGGAGAATGAATGGAATGAATGAATGGAATAGATATTTGTTGAAACCGAACGATATTCTAATGTTAACCTATACATAATAGACCTACAATTATGAAGTGAGCTGCATAAAATGTGCACTGCAGTTTACTGAAGTGTCTGAAAAAGGTGCAGTCGATGATAATGATTGATGCCAAAGATAACGGATCCATTGCTGACAAAGGGCTCGTTTCGATCTTTGGTCCATTACTCGTGTCTTCATATGACTTTCTGAGTTTTTAAGATTCGTCTTGAGTCCCTCTACCTTCTGAAATAAGTTTTCTCAAATTTTTTTCCCACCTTCGTTGCCTATAAACCGACATTATAAAATTTCACCAAAGATTTTACGCGTATAAATTTTATTTCATTGTGAATTTTATTACATTTCAATGAGATCTTTCAAATGAGCCTTTGATAACATATATAATATATCTGGATCTCATGATATAACAGTGGGAACTAAACTCGTGGTACTGGATTCAATGTCAAATCTAGGGCCTGAATGACCGAGTGGCTAGCTCTCTAGCGCTCGGTAACACAGGTTTCGGGGTCGAGTCCCGGCGGTGCCATGAATGTTTGTAGTGGTTCGAATCCCATTTTAAACCGTATATCCAGGCCTAATATGATCGTAGAGCGTTGCGGGGGCATTGTTACTCCGCGTCCGTAGCTTATCTTCAAGATATACGCGCTTTCTGTGTAATGAAAAGTGAGTAACGTCGGTGCAGCGCTTGCCTTAAGGGCTCATTCCCCCGAGGCGTCAGGGTTTAAGTGTGAAGATTTGACCTATCACTAAGCTCATCATGTTCGCCTGAAACCGGTTTGAAATGCACCGCTCCGAATTGACCAACTTTCAACTCGAAGCGGAACTTCACTAGGCGTAATGCTATTTCTGGTGTTTCGCTGTGAAAGGGTCGAAAAATTTTTCTCGTCTGCCGCATGTCGCGTCGTCGCCTGTTGCCTCGGTGGAAAGGAGCCTTAAGGTACCCAAAACAGCTGTCTAAGTGTTTGCCAGCTGCATTAGAAAAAAAAATTTCACACCTGATCTCCCTTTCCACTCTGAGCTACATAGCGTGCGGATTCCCCACCTCTTCCCACTAAAATATTTTCAACCTTCCACTACACCAGGGGTCTCCAAACTTTCCAGCTTTAGGGCCATACTGTTTACTCCAGTAAGTACCAAGGGCCAAAACAGTTTTAATTTTTCTGCCATTACCGATAATTTTTAGACTAGTCGCCGAGTA